GAATCTACGGAATACATGAAACAAATATTGGAAAGTTTTTTTCTCAGAATTGTTATTCAGTCCCTTGCAGCCCTGAAATATTGAGGACGAGTCTACCCAAAATTTACGCCGAGCATTGCCATGGAAACTCCCCTCAGTGCTGCTTTGTCGTTCGAACACATTACGATACATTCGGCGTAACACGGCGCAGTTATTCAATGTCATACACATCTTTAGCGGTTATCACTTGTGAAATTATATTATAATGTCTATTTGTGTCGATCTTAGTTGGGTTTGTGGGCATTATTGTTGAGCTAGGGGAAACAGATATAAGTACATTGCGATCGCCCTGATAAAACTAACATACTAGACATTCCGTTATTTCGTTGATGGAATTTAAATAGTTTTATTATGTTCATTGCAGTCGCGAAACAATTTACCGGTGAGGTCGGTGGCATTAACACACTGGCCAGCGACAGTTTGCGTGAGCGCATGGTGTAAAAAAGAACGAAGGGGATGTAGAATACATATCTAACTTGAACGTGTTCCTAGTCCGGGATTCTTACAAACGTAGTTCTTTAGCATGCGTGTTCACAATTATTTCCGGACATTGGTGTATCGAAATTTCAGAATGCATGTCATTCTAACGAAAGAGCGAGTGTTTTATATAATTTGACGGGTTGGAAATACGGCGCCCTCAAGCACATGCGTGATATAAAATTTAAAGCCAAGTACGTGGAGGGCGATAGTGGCTTCAATAAAGTGTAGAACCATGAAGAGAGTCGTGCAATCTTCCTACCCCAATATGGTATTTTATTATTTTGATTTTTACTCCTTCCGATAAATATAATAATAACTTTATTTACAGGTTATTCCTATTGGAATTTTCATCAAGTAAAATAAAGTGAAATGAAAAAGATACTCAAAAGTAAAATGACAAAAAATAAAAGAAAGAAAACACAATCTAAATAAAATAAAATAAATAAATGCATTTGAAAAAGATAAATTACACAGTTGGTTTTGGCATATGATATTTGATTTTAGAAACAAATAAATGAAATTACACAATTCACTGGTAGTGTCTAGCAGTGTTGAGAGGCTGCTAATAATTTCTGTTTTCTCTCATAATAAAACAGTTATGAATGTATTTGCTTAGTTCCTCGAGTACTGTTTCATCTTAGACTTTTAACAAGTGTGTTATGTTTTCTTGTTGATTGCCTCTGATATTAGCTTTTCATAACAATCTTTTCTTTCTGCAGAGTACAATCTACATTGCAAAAGGAAATCTTTCTTGGTAAACCTGCCAGACTCGATATGTGATAAGTGTGCGAGTATTCGCAGTTTAGTCATTGCTGATCGCTTACGTGGATTTTTTTTTACAATTTCCAAATATTTTTCAAGTGAAAAATAATTGTTTATTCTCCTATAGGTGCGTAGTTTGTTTTTGTGATTTCATCGAATAGAAAATGTTTAATATTTTGTTGAAATAAAGAGTTAATGTTTTCTTTGAGATATGTTATATTTTTTTTGTCAGCGTTAATTTTGATACACGCGTTCATAAGGCGTAGAGTCTGCCTAATACCAGACACCCAACTTTGGGTGCCTACTGTATACCTAGTTTGTAGGCGTCATTTATTAATGCATTTCCTTGCAAAACTTTGGACTAATATTGCAACATCTGTGTTAAATCTGATATTATTAGTGTTTGTCCTCCAAGTTCAGGTTAGCAAGCCAAATTTGAGGCTCAACAATTTACCTGAAGTAAACCTTTGCACAATTTAATGTGATCCTTTTCTATTAGAGCAGTGTAAATCAGGAGATTTAATAAAATTGGTTTAACTACATTTTCACATGTAATTATATTGGGATGTTTCCTTTTGAAAATAGCTGCGTTTAAAACTAAAACAAGCCTTTGCAGGTCTATGTTTTAAACCCTCTTGGGCCCTATTTAACTTGCCCGGTGTGTTCATTGTTATGCCTAGGTAAAAATAAGATGATACATGTTCTAATGTACAGGACTTTCAGTGACAACATCAGAAAATTCTTTCATAACTCCATCAATCTCGACATTCAACTCATGGCCAACATGACAATCAACAATTGTTTCCTAGCACTGAATTGGCACAGACTCCAATTCACCACTTTCACACAGTATTGTGTCACTGTCGACAGTGTCGTATTCAACAACTACAGTGCACACACAATTCATCACACCTGTAACTACTTCCTTGTCATTCAGTTTGTTCCTTTCATAAATGCTTCCAACAAGTTAGCATGATAAATGTTCACCTTGCCTTTCACGTCCATTCTGTAATCCATCATATCCACTCTCTCCTTAATTACACGTAACCCGAACCATTGCAACAACAACTTATTGTGGTCAGTGGGAAGTAACACTTAACACTTTGTCACCAGGTTGTCACCTAATTTGATGATAGGCAATTTCGATTTCGCAAATGAAGGATATACTGATACATAGTTTTAACCTCTGGTGTAGTGGTTTCCTTTGTCCACAATTCTCTTAAAGTCATCATTGAGCCCCTCACTGTTCTAACATAAATGAGATCGAAGGGTGAAAACCCTAAACTCTCCTGAGAAGCTTTTCTATAGGCAAGCAGGTCATAATGTCAGATACAGAGTTCCTAAATCAGTTAAAACTTTTTTGGGTTCATCAACCCTACTATATATACTGACTAAAGCATCCCCAACTATCTCTGAAGTAATTTTCTTTAACGCTACAGCTGCAGGGTACCGTGAAGCATAGTCTACAACATTTAAAATGTACCTATGACCTCTCTCATTTTCTGGACTGATCGGACCAATCAGATCCATATAGCTATTATTTAAAATGAAATTTCAATCAAGGGCATATCGCCTTAGGAGTGGTCTTCTGACATATAGCACATGACCTGCAATACTTAATAACATCACCCTGCCTCCCAGGCCAATAAAACTGAGTTAAATAAAACTGCTATTCTATCTAGTATTCTTAGCACCCGGGTGATCTGCCATAACTGATCATGACTCATGAGCAAGTGCTAGTACTTGATCATGGTAACACAATGGTAAAACTAATTGGGAACACACACGTCCTCTATCAACATGAGGTGACTGAAACTATACATCAGTCTCTTGGTCACCACAAACCTTGCTACGACCTGTGATCAACTCCTCACATGTACTGACTAACTTCCTAGGACGCTCTAATGTGGAACCAGCCTCTCGCACTGCATCCACAGTAATAGGTTTCTTACCACGATTTGTATCAACCTTACTATGCAACTCCTTAAACTCGGGAACTATAAGCCTACGTAATGGCTTCTTCTCAGCTAACTTCTGAGCCCTAGTCTGTACCACCTGTACAACATCAACACTATCATCCTGACAAGAATCACTGGAGGGTTCACAACCACTGCCATTAACTTAAGGCTCTCTTATCTCAACACCTGGAGAAAAACCTTCATTCATATAGGGCGCTCTATCTTGACTACTAGTAGATGTACAGCCTTCATTATCTGAAGGAACACTAGTTCCAATACCTGAAGGACAACAACCTTCACCACCAGAGGGTGAACTAACCTCACCCTGCCTACCTCATGAGCTAAACCTAGCTTCCAACCAGAATCTTTTGGCTCCCTAGCTCCACTAATATTACCAATAATAAGATCACACACCGGGGTCCTCAGACACAATGCCTCGACCACAACAACATAGAAACTGTATCTATATATAATCTAGCTAGCTACATGTACATCAATCCATCATCACACAGGTACGACTCTCCCCAGTCAATTGAATATCATCCACCAACACTCTACGTACTACAACCGAATGTTATCTTTACCTTTATGCTTACTTGCATCTGTGACTTCATGTGCTACTTTCTGTGAATTATTCCGATCACATCACATCGCAGCTGACTTAACCTGAGGCTTGGAACTTTTATAATGCATAGGAAAACTGTAAGCAGAGTGACTAACAGCCTGAATTTGGCCTAGACTGGACAAATCGACCTTGTCCTTTTCTTTTCTGACCTGTGCTCCAGAACTGACTTTTCTGACTACCACGTTGAACCTGGCAAAAATTTTGATTTGTACCACCTGTCTGTCTACGTGCATCTCTAAACTTATCAGTCATGTCTGCCATTTCTTTAACAGGGTGACCTTTCACTGACTTTCTGTGAATCATTATTTTCCGATCATATCACATCACAGCTGACTTAACCTGAGGCTTGGAACTTTTATAATGCTCAGGGAAACTGACAACAGAGTGATTAACAGCCTGACTTTGGCCTAGACTGGACCAATCGACCCTTTTTTGTTTCCTTTCTGACCTGTGCTCCAGAACTGACTTTTCTGACTACCACGTTGAACCTGGCAAAAATTTTGATTTGTACCACCTGTCTGTCTATGTGCATCTCTAAACTTATCGGCCAAGTCTGCCATTTTTCTAACTGACTTGGGTGCACTTTTACCTATGAAAATCATTCCCAAAAGTACTCACCAACTGATCTCTCGGTCACTATTAATCTAGCTGCAAATTGCGAAATGCTCTCTCCACCTTCTGGCCTACTAGTTCGAAATATCTTCATGTAACCTTCTTTATTCATTCCACAAAGCTTCAAAAAAGCTACCTTTACAACATTGTAATCGATGGACTCTGCTGAAGACAATACAGAACACACATACAAAGCTTTGCCTGTCAATAATACATTAAGATTGATAACCCAATTGTCACGCAACCATTTCTGAGTTGCAGCGAATCGCTCAAACCTTAAAATAAATGCGTCCATCTCATCTCTAGTATCATCAAACAACGGTAGCTTTGGACCCTTAGAACTATCAATGAACTGAGTGAACATTTTTACACCTCCATTTTGACCGTTAGCTTCTGCATGCAACTTCAACACGTCAAGTTCATGCTGTCTTACTTTCTCTTCTCGTTCTCTCTTTCTCCCCTCTCGTTCTCTCTAACCCTCTCTGTTGCCTCACGTTCTCTGTCACTTTCCTCACATTTATTTTTCAAGATTTCAGCCTCGTATGCATTTTTCCACGTTTGGCTGCTATCTCATCCCTCTCCTCAAGCTCTTTTTTCTCACGCTCTGCCCTCTTTAAGTTCAACAGGTGTAATTCAAATTCCAGTAGTATTAAATACAGCAATTTAATGTCTACCTAGCAGTACAAACTGGTCTGACAACATCGTGTTCTCTAGACCTTAAGTAGTTACGAAACATTCAATTTAGTCAGGGGATTATTGAAAATAGAATCCGAAACTATAATGAATGAATACTGAATCAGAATCCCAATCCGAATCACAATCCGAATCATAATCACAATCCAACTCCTGACACCAAAAGGAGGGCACCAACATAAATCACACTGGACAGGGGGTTCTTTCACTGCTAACATGGGGTAGACAAGACAATAGTACTGGAACTGAATTACACATACATCAAAATATCAGGTTGAAGCTCCTGGCTGTAATACCTCTCAAAGTAAGTACAATCAACTAAGCCCAGAAAATACAATGCATAAAGTCACTAAAATAGGGGATTGCCTAGGGAAGTGTGCAATGGTGATAACTCACAGTTTCAGGAGTCTTGCTTGCAGAGGAATGCTGGTATTCTGGAGGGCACCGCTGATAGCATGATATCACAGAGCGGTTCGTACAAGTCTCACAGAATGATAATGACAGAATGATAGGACTGTACCACTTTCTCACAATATCGCAGCAGCAACGCACAATGTGTTTTCTTGAAATAATGGTCTCCAACTGTCCTGTTATGCAAATGACAAGCACACCTGGTAGATTCCAATTGTCTGTCCAAAGTTGTAAAAATCCTTTGTCACGGAAATCACAAGCATACCTGGTATGAGTGGTGAAGAAGTATGACCTGTCAATCACCTTTCAGACAGTTATCACACGGCAGTGCATACGGTTTCTTCCCATGATACATATGCAGGGTTTGAGGTAATGTGTCAAAAACATAAAATAAAGGATGCTGACATCGTTGTTGACGCTTTTTCATAATCCTTGAAACATCTGAAATAAATAACATGAAGTACGCCAGAATAAATGTCCTTTATGTATCATTCACCATGGTCTGACCGGACTCCACACAAAGGCATTCGCTGATTCTATTTGTGGGTTTAGGCATTTCCATGATGTATCCTTGGAACGAAAAGATGGATAATAATAAGGTTATTACGAGCATACCTCAAATACCTCGTCTTCGTGCATACTTTGAGGTATCCTTATAATAAACTCATAGTATCATAGTTACATCAAAATTACAATTATTCAACTTTTAGCAATTTCGTCAGTTTTCATATAGACCAGAGTGGCCAGTTAAAAAAAATCACTGAGGAATAAAAACGACTGTAACCCTATTTTTCCTTCAAACTATGGCAAAGCATTCATATTTCATTATTGCGTAATGCGACTCTGCGTGGCTCACTCTTCAGCTAGTAAATATAGCACAGTGAATAAACATCGTAATCTCGAGACATCGGAAAGTCGCAATGTGGGTGTCTTGTTTCGGATATCTTTGAGTTGTTAAAAAGCCAATTGATCACAAAACTCTCAATTGATTTTCTTAGGTTTACGTTTCTTTGTCAGTTTGTAGAGGTGCAACAATGGCGAGAAGTTTTGAACAAATTTTCAAAAATACTCCGTTACCCTACAAATAAGCCGTTGTCAACGTCAAGGGACGTGGATGCCTCTACAGTGCACGGCCTTTTCCAGAAACTAAATCCAATTGGCTTGGGTGAAACGAAAATAGCATTTCAATGACTTTGCCGTTCATACCGCCCAGAGGAAATTCAATACAATCACCCTCTTCAGATGGGTTTGCCAAGTCTTAATGTATATTAAGATGTCGCCCAATAAGCTCCCCTTTGGTATCCATCAGAACTCTTCACATAGTGTGGTTAAATGTACTACTCTATGGTATAGAATGAATATAATGAATGTCTGAGGTCAGTTATGTGTCATGACAACCATTCTGGCTGGTAAGAATGGCAGTGCACTCTCTAAATACCTGTTGCAAGTCCAGGACCTAAAAGTTCAGAACGGGTTTCTTCCCTTGCGAGGGGACGCCATGATCAGTAAGTCTAATGTCAATCAAACCATCCGATACACATATAGGTTTGCCAAGTGGCATAGATGAAGTGTGTATATGTTTACCTTAGGAAGCAACAACAAAGACATTTCACCCATGATAAAATGTCAGACCTTTGTAAATAGGCCAATGACATAATCATATTTATCTATTTTAGTGATCTATTTTGTCTATAGCTCCTACAAGATAAGCATTTGACTTTTCACTGTTCTCCCATACAACAGCTCAAATGGGTACAAACTCATACTGGCATTTCTATATTCAAGCAATAATGTAACAGCTTTGTAACTGTCCCAGTACGTAAGCCACTAAATCGTTCACGGAGACCGTTTCTTTTCCTGTTTTACTTATTACAGGTTTAGCCAAGGATGCCAGGATTTATTTGGAGCGTGCCTCATTCCTCATTCGTTTAAGTTTTGACACAGTACCGCCAAGCACACCAACACATTAGGTTTACACGTGCTATAATAGTTTTATGCAAGAACACCTTTTTCAGTGCTTCCACAGAATGCACAACACCCATCATGTTGATCCAGTGTGTTAAGTAGTGCTTAAGTCGAACCATGAGTTGCTTTGTGGTCTCTGTGAATTCTGATACAATATCCTTCCTCTGGTATTCCGTATGCCTTTATCATATTGCGCTCGGCCCATATATTAAATATAGATGTCCGTATCATCACCATCTCTAACTTGTGGAGGGGGTTGAATTTGGGTAGCAAATTACAATATTAAAATCAAATTGAGCTAATTTGATGGTAAGCCTCTTTTCCAGCTTGTTATTAAGCAAATTCCGCTACTTGCCCTATTTCTAGCGTTTTTGTGCTCAAATATAATGGCTTTTGGTTACCATTTCCTTTGTATCCAGCACGTGCATGATTGGCCACCAAACTACCAACAATACAGAACACTGAGGTCAAGTGATCTACAGCTCACCTATGGTATATTTCACTTATTTTGTAGAGAGTGGGTTGAATCAGAACATTAAAAGTGAATTGCTGTGCTAAGTGTAGCGTATACAATAATCTTTTATAATAATACTATCAGCTTATTCTAAAAAATATCGCGTATCAATCCCACGAAATTGCATTCAACAGTCAAGGACAATATCACAACAACACAAATCTCAGGAGTTTAATCAATAGGGGATTTTCCGTACAATTACGAGATCTCGCGAGATGTATGAAAAACGCGCGTCGAACGTCTGCCGCAAAAATCGAACGATTTGATTTTGAACTATAATTTCTTTATTTCGTAACTCACATCGACCGGCCGATCTTCGACAGAGGAATATTGCTTCCGAATACCCTTACTTAATTAAAATTGCCTATCATCAAATGTGTACAGCACATTACTAAGCATGGAAATGTCCCCCAAAATACTTCGCGTTTGTCCAATCCCACGCGATGTTTGACGCCACTACGACGCTATGACCTTTGTTTGTCCTGTTTTTACGTTCGATTTCACGCATAACGCATGATTCTCGCAGTGAACGGAAAATGGTCTATTGTGTTATATTTTATGATCAATAAAATACACTAGCCAACATTTTCTTTGAAACCAATTGAGCACACATGATGATAAGTACATAACGTATATTACAACAAGACAATGGATTTGTGTTAACATATATAGTATGCGTGTTGCACATTCACCTGAGCCACGTGCAAGCATTCGCACACACAAGGATTATAATCATAAAACAAGAATACTAAAGTATCACACATGAGTACTAGGGTTACAGTCCCAAAAGACAAATATTTCATTTAGAAAACAAATAAAACAGTGTAATCCGCAAAATATCAATACATTTTTCGTAATTTTCACAAAAAAGAAGCGTGAGTCGAAAATTCACAGTATACTATTTTGTGATATTGCTCACAATGATGTAGCGATCTGATTAAAATCTGATGTAGTGTACAGGCTTTAATTATTTTGGCTATAAACTTATTTTAATTTAATTTTTTATTACTTTTGTTCATTAATGCCCTTTTATTTCATTATTTTACTTTGATTTGTATTTTGTGATTTTTTTAAATTCCGCCCTACCTACATCTGACCCGATGCCTATGTAACGAGATTTCAACGAGACCCACTATCGACGATTTTAGTCAACGAATCACATACCTCCTTCTATAGCGCATATTATGACGTCACCGGGCAGAGTCAGGTTGCAAACACACTCAAATAAAATGGCGGATTATACCGACGTTAGCGACCGTGAATAACACGGCTTTCCGGTAAGTTTATCATTGTCAAATGCAACGAAAGTCATTTTTATGTTAATATTGTGGATCGAATGGTTCGACTTTAGATCGTTATTTTGCATAGTTATTCTGGGAGTGACGATTTTGTTTCCACCGGTTCGACCGAACACCAGTGTATTTTTCCAGTCGCCTGCCCTGGAGACGGGTGATGTTTTGTTGACGATCGGGCCAAAATCGTCTACGGTATTGGAGCTGTAAATATTCATCAAATTGTATCAACATTTTGTACATTATACAATAACTCTTTATTAAAGTAATTGAGCTGATTTGGACTGGAATAAAATATTTTTTATTTGGAACACATCGCAATTGATCAGGAAATACTTTTCTGCGTCGATGCCGTGGGCCAGTGACCGTTATACAATTTAAAATCAGTTTGCATTGTTTACTATAGCTGTTTACAGTGTTCTAATCATTACGATTTACTTATTTTTTTGCTTCCATTTTAGATACTTATGCTCAGTGATGTAAAATTGAAGCGATGACTGAATGAACGACCTTGGCTGGCGAAGATGTATCTGGAAGTGTACACATTTGTTGGAAGTGAAAAAATATTCAATGTAATGACAAAAATTGTAAAATGCTGTGGAATTTCTTTTGCAAATAAAAATATACTAGCAATTTTCTATTAATGGTTTATTCAAGTGGG